CTCAGGTCTTATCCTCTGCTCCTCCATTTGTATTCTACATCCTGTCACCTCTGCTTTCAGATATTATGGCTTTTTATTCCTTTTCATATTTAATTTCTTCCCTTCAACTAGATCCTCCTTGTATGTATACAAATGTGTAGGCCATGTGAGGTATCTGTTTAGAAAGCTGAACATTATTCAATATACTAAAATTTTAGTTAAATAAGGCCTTTATACAGTAACACTTTTATATTATTAGCACATAGTAAATGCTATACATAGATTAGCCCATTTAATCTTCAAAACAATCCTGCGACATGTTCATTAGCTTCCTCACATATGAGAAAGCTGAGGCACCCAGGAGTTAAGCAGCTTGCCCAAGGAGAGTGGCAGACTGGGTAATTCAAAAGGAAACACTGGCTCTAGAGGCAATGTATGCCATTTGAGCAATTGGTGGGCTTGTGATTACCCCTACAGTGTCATATTGACACTACATATTCAGTCTCTTGGGACATTTTGAGACCCTAAGTCTGGAAGAACTAGTATGAGTCATGTTGCTGTCACATTATCAAACAATAAAAATATAAACTTATTTATGGTTAAGAAACCTATACAGTGAAACTTCATAAACTGACCTCTATAATCACTATTTTAGCATAAAAGAATCCCAAATACATTTTTAAAAAATCTTTCATCACTTATTTTCCAAGGTGCAACTGTTCAACAGCACTAAAGTAATGTACCTTTTATGTGTGAATCTCTCCCATTGGATGTGGACATTTCAAAGGCTGCTGTAGCTCCCTCATTGAAATATCTATTCAGTTCCTACTTTATAGCAGCTACTGTGCCAAGTGCTAAACAATATAAATAAGACAGACATAATCCCTGATCTCAGGATGACAGGTGATAAACAATGTTTTTAAAAATAGAGAAAAGTACTAAGAAAGAATCAATAAAATAGAGAGTAAAAGCCAAGATACAGAATTGGAATTTTAAGACACAGTGACAGAGAAAGGCATCACTGAAAAGGAAATATTAAACTGAGACCTAAAAGTGAAGTATAGGGCAACCCATCATTGGGAATCAGCCCTAAGGTGAAAAGAACAAGTCAGAGGTTAAATAAGACCAAGGCTGGCTGAAAAGCAGGATTAATGGTAAAGTTGGAATAAACAGCAGGGGAAGATCACTTAGGGTCCTTTACAGGCCATGATAAAGAATTTGAATTTTAGTGATTTTTACAAAGGAAAACAATTACATATTAAACAGGAAAGAGATGTTTTTACTGCTTTAAAATTATAATAAATCACATTCTGTGAATACAGAGATCAAGAGCCAAAACAAGGAGATCAGAAAAGCTGCTGCAATAGTTCAGGCAAGAGAGGATGGTGGCTTGGGATAAAGTTTGATACATGGGAGATGCTGAGAAGTGGAAAATTTCATGTGGACAAGGACAGAACAGCAAATAAATCTTTGAAGAAAATTCAAGGGAGATAAGACAATTATTTCAAAAGGTACAGTTACAATAACTCGATATTCACTTGTAAAAATAAAAAAACTGACCTTGCACCTTTCACAAAGATAACTGAAAAGGAAACAGAGACCTAAATGAAAAACTTACAGAAGACAACATGGAGGAAAAATTAGGTGACCATGGGTTTGGCAGTAAGTCTCAGATACAAGACTAAAAGCATAACCCATTGAAGAAAAAATTGATGAAATGAACTTCATTAAATTTCAAAACTTCTGGTCCACAAGATACCAGTAAGAGAATGAAGGCAGGCAATAGTTCAGTCTAGAAATTACCTGCAGAATTTTAGTGATTTTGGAAAAGGACTGGTATCTAAAATACACAAACAGCTCTTTTAAAACTCAACAATTAAAAAAAAATTGATTTTAAAAGTGGGTGAAAGACTTGAACAGACACCTCACCAAAGTTGACATACATATGGAAATAAGGTATATGTAAAGATGTTCAATATTATATGTCACTGGGGAATTACAAATAAAATCAATGAGATACCACCATATACCTGCTAGTTACAATGCAAAACATCGACACCACTAAATGTTGGCAAGGATGTGGAACAGAAACTCTGCTATTGCTGGAAATGCAAAATCATACAAATACTGTAGAATGCAGTTCAGAGGTTTCCCACAAAGGATAGGCTTACTATAAAATGCAGTAATTGCACTAGTAGGTATTTTCCCAAATGAGCTGAGATTCTATGTCCACCCAAATATCTGCACTCAAATATTTACAGCAGCTTTATCAGTAATCAGTAAGTGCCAAAAACTGGAAGCACCAAGATATTATCAATGATGAATAAGCTGTAGTAGCCTCGAAAGTGATAGAGAAAAGTGCTATCAAATCACAAAAAGACAAGGGGGAATCTTGGCTGCATATTGCTAAGTGAAAGTAGTCAACAGAAAAGGCTATATTACTGCAAGTCCAACTAGATGACATTCTGAGAAAGGCAAAGCTAGAGAGATAGTCAAAAGCAGTGGTTGCCAGGGGTTGTGGTCGTGAGGATAAAATAGATGAGGAATTTTTAAGGGCAGTGAAACAACCTGAAAGATACCATAACAGTGAATACATGACATTGTGCATTCAGCAAAATCCATAGGACTGTATGGCATAGTGAACCCTAATGGAAACTGAGACTTTAATGTATCAAAACTGTTTCAAATAAAAAAAGTGCCAAATGTGAGATGTTAGGGGAAATGAGAGAGGGGAAATTCATAACTCTAGTTTTTGGTCAACTCTTCTATAAACCAAAAGCTGTTATAAATTCCCCCCAAAATTGAACTAACAGATTATATATGAGTTTTGACATGAGATGAACAGTGGTACTGCACTGAGGATGACTAAGAGAAAAATAGCTCACAATTGAAAAAAATTTTTAAATTATCCAATGGGTATCAAAATTGGAGCTTTGCGCTGGGCAGGAGACAGAAATAATTAAGTCATGGGAATGGATAAGATCACTTCGGTGGAAAGAAGAAAAGGGAAAAGCTTGAGAATTAAGTATTGAACCACATTCTGCAGTTGGACGATAGAGGAAGGCCAACAACTAAAATGTAAATGCTGGGAGGAAAACCAAAAGTGTGTGCTATTATGGAAGTCAGGAAAAGTATATTTCAAAAGGTAATTAAATAATTCAGCAAGTCAGTGTCTGGTGAATTTGGCAATAGGAAGTACATAGAGCAACTTTGACATGAGCAATCATAATGGTATTAAAAATAAGGATTGAACAACAAATACAATTTGGGAAATTATAACAATGAATAGACAATTCTTGGTAATAAACTGCAGAAGTCAGAAGGTAGAGAAGGGGTCAATGTGGCTTACTTTTAAGAACATATACGATTGATGTAACAGATTATTCAAAATGACAGCAACAATGTATTACAACTACAGATTATGGAAACGTTAAATAAAGAGCTATAATGTTAAAAGGAAGTGGGAATATTATACTATAAGGTACCTGTATTACTGAATAAGTATAGTGTTATCAGAACTAAATCTGACTTCTAAAAATTACTTCATTCAACAACAGGTAAATACACCTTCTCAGGCTTTCATGCAAAATTTGCCAAGATTAAGGGGCATAACTCTCTCTCTCTCTCTCTCTCAATGGAATTAAACTACAAATCAGTAACAAATGTCAAATGTTAACAGATAGATGGAAAATCCCAAAATAGAGATTAACAAACTTTCCAATTTAACACAATAGTTAAAAAAAAAGGTTTTAAGAGAAATTTAAAAATATTCTTAACACTGAAAGAAAATGAAAATACAACATATCAAAATCCTAGGATACAGCAAAAACAGCGCTTACAAATAAGTGTAATATAAAGTGAATGTAAGCAGAACAGGAAATGAAACCTAAAAAAGGAAAATAGAAAAAAATCAACAAAACTAAAACAAAAATCTGGTCATCTTGTCAATAAAATTGATAAATCCCTAGCAGTTAGGTTAACAAATATAAGAAACAGTATCACAAATGAAAGGGGGAGATCACTACAGATCCCATGGAAATTAAAAGGATTGTAAGTGGGTTAATTATAAATGCAAATGCTACAGCAACAACTAAAAAAAACATTTAAAGTATAATTGATATAAGAGAAAAATGGAATTAAAGATCAGAGAAGTCAGAAAAAGGAAAGACAGAATAAGGAGAAGTATCACTGATAAAGAGGGGCATTACATCATTACATAATGATGAAGAGGTTAATTCTCCACTTAGGTAAGAATCCTAAATATGCGTTGCCAAACAATGGAGTCAAAACATGTGAAGGGAAAACTGATAGAATGAAAATGAGTAACTGATGACTCCATTCTCAAAGACATAAACACTACAGTAATTCACAGGTTCAGTGGGTACAAAAATAAGGACATAGTTCAACAAATATAAGAAACAGTATCACAAATGAAAGGGGGAGATCACTACAGATCCCATGGAAATTAAAAGGATTGTAAGGAGTATTATGAACAATTCTATCCCCACAAACTTGCTAACTTACATGAATTGGCCCAATTGTATCTTCCTTAAAAGGTACAATTTCAAACCTTAAACAAGAGAACATATCCATTTAAGAAACTGAACCAGTTAATATAACCTTTCCAAACAGGAAGTATCAAGTCCAGATGGTTTCCTTGATGAATTCTACCTAGTACTTAATGACAAAACCATGTCCACAATTTCTTTCAAAAACTAGAAACAACAATTACAATTCTGGGGCCAATCAAATATCAAAATGAGACCAAAAAATTACAAAGAAAATTATAGACATGACCAGGTTTAACTTATTCCACACACGCAAGAGTGATTCAGTATTCAAAAATCAAGTTATGTAATCTATCACATTAATCTATCACATCAAGTTATGTAATCTATCACAAGGCTAAAGAGAAACTATGCAATCATACCAGTAGATGCAGGAAAACACAGGTGCCAAAAGTCAACATCTACTCAGGATTTTAAAAACTGTGAGGACACTACAAGAGAATTTCCTCAATTGATAAATAATATCTACAAAAAAAAAAAAAACTACAGTTAACATTTGCTGGTAAGAAACTACACACTTTCTACTTAATATCAAGAACAAGAGGAGCATGTCCCCTCTTTCACTATTCCCGTTCAACACTGTACTGGGAAGTCCTAGCTAATGTAAGAAGCAAAGGAAAAGTATATAGATTTGAGAAGGAAAAAATAAAAACTGTCTTTGCTTACAGATGATATGAATGTGCATACTGAAAATCACTAAGAAGGAAAAAATTTCAACTAATATGGCAAGTCTGCAAGATTAAGAAAGTTCATTGTTTTCCTGTCAGCAGTGAAAAGTAGGAATTTGGAATTAAAAACACTCCACATATATTAACACCAAGAGAGAAGTAGGTATAAACCTAAAAAATATGTGTAAGATCTAAATTAGGGGAGAAATATACAATATGTTGATGAAAACTCAAGATGTAGGAAAACAGTCTATGAATATAGATAGCAAAATTAAATATTGTTAGATGTCAAATCATCTCAAGTTGATTTCAAATTCAATGCAATTCCAATCAAAGTGCCAGCAAATCATTTTGTGGATATAAACATCTTGATTCTAAAGAATCTATGAAAAGGCAAAACATCCAGAATAGCCAGCACAATACTGAAGATCAAAGAGGAATGACACTACTCAACTTCAAAATTTATCAAAAAGCCATAATATTTGAGAGCAGTGTTATTAGTGAAAGGATACAAAGATCACTGGAATGAAATAAGGGGTAAAGAAGCAGAGCAACACAAATATAATCCACTGATCTTTAAAAAAAGAAGCAAAAATCAAAGAAAAAAGGGGCTTTTCCCTCCAAAATGGTGTTAAAATAACCAGATATTCCATCAAAGGAAAAAAAAAAAAAAACTGACCTAGCACCTTTCACAAAGTTAACTCAAAATGGATCAGAGATCTAAATGTAAACTCAAAAGTATGAAATTTAACAGAAGCCACAACATAGGAGGAAATCTGGATGACCAGGGATTTGGCGATTGTTTTTAGATACAACGACGAAAGTATAACCCACAGAAGAAAAACTGATGAACTTCACTAAAATTAAAGCTTCTACTCTGTAAGAGACACCGTTAAGAGAATGAAGATGGGCAATAGTTCAATCTAGAAATTACCTGCAGAACACAAATGTGGAAAAAGAACTGGTATCCAAAATACACAAAGAGCGCTTAAAACTCAACGAGAAAACGTATTTTAAAAAGTGGGTAAAAGATTGAACAGATACCTCACCAAAGATGATAGACAGATGGAAATTAAGCATATGAAAAGATGCTAGGTATGTCACTAGGGAATGAAAATAAAAACAATGAGATACTACTATACATTTACTGTAGTTATAATCCAAAACACTGACACCACCAAATGTTGGGCAAGGATGTGGAGCAACAAGAACTTTTTGTGTTAGGAATACAAAATGGTACAGCCATTGTGGAAAATAGTTCAGTAGTTTCTTACAACACTAAGGATAGGCTTACCATAAAATCCAGCAATTACACTAGGTATTTTTCCAAATGAGCTGAAAATATATGTCCACTCAAGAACCTGCACACAAATGTTTACAGATTTATCCATAAGTGCCCAAAACTGGAAGCAACCAAGATGTTCTCAAAGATGAATAAATTGTGATAAATCTGGACAATAGATTATTGCCTAGTAATAAAAGGAAATACGCTATCAAGTAGCAGAAAGACATGGTCTATTGACAAGTGAAAGCAGTCTGAAAAGGCTACATGTCCAACTACTGACATTTTGGTGAAGGGAAAATTATACAAACAGAAAAAAGACCTGTGACTGCCAAGGTCAGGAGGAAAAAGGTTATTAAAAATACAGATCACTTGTACATTGATCAAATGATCTAGTGTGACAGTGTAATTGTGACACCTGACATTATATATTTGGCAAAACCTATAGAACTGTATGATACAAGGGTAAATCCTAGTGTAAACTATGGACTTTAATGAAAAATATTTCATTAATTATAAAAAATGTATCACCAAAAAAAGATTAATAGGGGAAATTATGCAAGGGGGAATAGCTTACATAGAAGGACCTTTCCGCGCTTTCTGGTCATTTTCTTTTGTAAATTTTTTTTCTTCTGTAAATTTAAAACTACCTTTTTTTAAAAAGTTGATTAAAAATATATACCAAGTAAAATATTCCTTTTATCTAAACAAAAAGGGTCTGTAAGAAATTTTCCTGAAAACAGGCATTCTTTTTGGCAAAATGCTTGGCAATTAATGGTGCGATACAGTTCTTTAAACAGTTTAGTTCCAGTGGCCCAGGCTATCCTTCTATTACCAAGGACAATCTGAAAAATATTTTACATTACACAAGTCATTTTATGTGAAACTTTCAAATACCATTATTTGTTTCTTATTATGTGCTTTGGGGCATGTTTTGTAATCTCTGTGCTTCAGCATCTACGTATAAAATGGAAAAAATTCTCTCACAGGTCACCTGAATTAAAGAAATACACATAAATAACCTAGCCAACGGTGTGCAGGACAGACATGTAAATGGTTGCTTCCTTTGTCGGGTAAGGTACAGTATACCCAACATTAAACCAGTATTCCTCAAACTGAGGTGTTAGGAGAGGTACAGACCACCAATTACCTCATTTCTCCCTGGAATTCAAGTTAAAAACTGAGGGGAAAATTTACATATTTAGCTGGTAGTTTAAAATGCTGATACACCAAAGTAATGTTGCTAAAGCACAGCATTTGCTCTGTATTTCAAGAGTTAACACAAGACTATGCTTGCATTAGTACTTAGGCTGCTTTTACAGACTACCAGGGGTACTTCTTCATCAACTTCTGCTGTTTGGCATATACCCTAACCTTCTCCACTGAAGCACTGCCTTTCTTTTCTAATTTTAATTGTTACTGAAGACACATTCATTTTCTTCTCAATGACAGTCACATGTCAACAGTTTAGCTCCAATGGCCCAGGCTATCCTGACATTACCAAGGACAACCTGGAAATCAACATTTTACATCACACAAGTTATTTAATATGTAACTACATTGAGTCAGAATTAAGCAAGCAAACCAGCAAGTGAAACTGTACTTTTACTGATTTCTCAAAATCTCAGCTATCAATCTTGAGTCATATTTTTCTCTTGCGTTGAACTGTATAGGCTATGCATAAACAGGTTAGCCTAATTTTTAGAAACAAAATATTTCGTAAATCTCAATTTTTCTGCCCAAATGAATCTCAACATGCATACAATTATGCACTTTAATGAATAAAAATGGATTTTAAAAAAGTGGCATTAGTATTCCAGGGACAAAAGCAGGCTGACCTTAACTGTGTTGGCTTGGTGTCACAAATTAAAACATTGATGAACTGAAGCATATTCAGAGATCCACAAAACCTTTTGAAAAATCTCTAATCCATGCTACATGGATGAGCTAAGAGTAGAGATGCTTAACCTATAGGGGGAAAAAAACTTGAAACTGGAATTGATAAAGTCTAACAGTCATCGTAAATACCTAAAGGCTATCAGACTTGAAGGGAGTAAGAGTTGCTCTGTGTTGTCCAGAACTAAGATCAATATGAGAAAACAGTAAGTAGAGGTAAGTATTGATCTCTGAGCTTGCAGTCAAGTGAGCGGAGTCCTACAGATGTTTTGGCTGTTACCATGCTATTAGAAATATATCAGCTTAATCCTGGATAGCAATTATCTTGTAAAATGGGGTGCTAAACTAGATAATTTCTAAGGTAATTTTCAAATTAAAAAATTACATGGAAGCAAATTCTTGATTGAACATAGAATCAGCAACCCCATTTAGTAGTGCGTACTATCACTAGTTCACAACATTATCATTAGTTCTACATATAAGAGAGGGATAAACAAACCTTTCCCAATTTATAGGAACTGGTGTTGTTATAAAAAGCATAGATATTTTCTATGTTGCCACCTAGTGAGTAAATCTGTAGCAATTTTAGAAAAAAAAAATTCTAAACCATTTTTCTAGGTCATCTGTATGAAATACCGCATTTTCCCTTTGTTTCCAGATATACTAAATATTATGCTACACTTGACTCTTCGAACTTACTATTCCTTAGAGAATAACAGTATGACTTTCTTTTCTGAGTGACTTTATAGCAAATGTTTTATTTTCATCATCAGTATAACAGATTCCTGAGTGTAAATGTTTGTAAAACTTGAGTTTTCTCAAACCAAAGTGAAAATTACTCAGTACAGCTACTAAATCCTAGTTACCATTTAATAAAAACAGGGATAATATAGCAAAAATGGAGTCAGGCAATAATTTCATAATATATATACTCAACTTCCCATCAAAAGTATAGTATTTTAAGGCTACTCAGGGCCTAAGGAATATTAAATATGGATCATAAACATTAAGAAAGCAAGGGTAAAAGAAGCCTTGGAATATAGCAATCCAAGCATATGAAGAGTACAATGTCTGCTGATGTTTCTAAATCCACTCCAAAGTTGTACAAAAATAAATTTGTGATTTATCCCTTTCTCTTTCCTGGGAGAAATCTTTTAAGAAAAATTATTTTACTAATTTTACATATATCTGAAAATCCAAGCATATCTGTTGTAGTTTACTTCCTCGGTACATTGAACCATCTTGAACATTTTTTCTACCTATGCCATGCCTTACCTCTTGAGAAGAGATCCCTTTGATCACAATTCCTGAAAACTCCGATGCACACTTCAAAGTTCCCTAAGGTTTTTACTGCAGTTATCTAATTATCTTAGATGTACATATTAGTGGAAAAAAATTTGGACACCTATGTGCTTATTTTTGAAATGTGAATCACTTTTTGCACTAAATATGAAACACTTTTAATGGCTAAATATAATTACCTGAACAAAAAGCAAGAAATTGCTTAGGACATATAAGCAGTGACATTTTGCTCAATAGCTTCAACATAGCAAAGTAAAATAAGCTAAGTGCACATATTTATAATCAGCCATAAAGTTAGTACACTTTGCAGTCACACTGCTTCTGTGACATTTACTATTTTAAATAGAAGGTATATTTTAAAAACTGTTTCCTCACTAAAGAACATATCTCAAAGATATATGGTAAGCAAAGTTGAACACTCTCTAGCATTTTTATTCTGAAGCTATTGAAAGTGTAGAGAAGAATCCATGTCATAAAAATTAAATTATTTAAAACTCTCATTTCACCATTATTTTTACAGTATGTTTGACGTTTCTGGTGCAGTGTTTTTATTTAACAATCCCCCGCTCTCCCACTTACATATCCCACCCTTTTACACATATATACTTAGGGATTATAATTTTTTGCATTCAAGTAAAATATAGTCTTCCATTGAAATGTTATGACTATAAAACTTTTAATAGTTTTAATCTAAAAACATAATTTTATCCAAAAAAAAACTTTACTCATCTTTTCCAAACCTAGCATACTAAGAGCCAAGAACTTTAGCTTCCTTCCCCACTCCCTCAAATACAGTAGCTATTCTAAATCATTTATTTTATAATTCTTACTTTTCAAGAGTATAATTTCATTGCCAAGCCAAATCATTTCATTTTAATCCATATGTTGTCATTAATTCAACTTTTATTTCTATTTTAGGACACGATCGTATTTATTTTTAATTTTTGGATTCTACTTCTTGTATAACTTCTCTTCAAATCAAAAGTGAAATCCTCTTGCTTCTAGCTGACTCTGCATAGAAAAGGTAAATTGTTCCAGTGCTTCAATTAAGTGTATGTAGCTATAAAGGCAAAAATCATTAAAACCAAATTTTATCCTTTTCCATGTTGTCTGGATAAGATTAAAAGCAAGAGATTCTTAAGGCAAGATTTCTCCTACAATTGTTTGTTTAAGCAAAACACTAAAATATAAAATATTTTTCTTCTCCTGAAAGCACTGATGACTTGGGTAATTCCTCAATCAGTCATTATATTCAAATGTTCTTTTTTTCAGGGAAAAGGAAATCCTTTTGTATGTTATTTTCTAAGTGGTTATATTTTGATCTATTTTACTTTAAAAGATTTGACCACATTACTCCTTATGTTTATAATATTAGCTTGAGTTTTAATGGCTTGAAAATTGATCTACAAAAAGGGGGCATCTTAAAAAAAAAATCCAATTCTGAAATTAAAGCTTCTAAGCTAAGAAGTTGTTAATCAGAAAAGTATAAAAACAGACTAAATAGTTTACCTATTTCACACATTTGGCACTTGGTGACCTAACGAAGAATCATTTTACCATTTAAAATATTTTTTTCTCAAAAAAAGATTAACATACACAAGGACAAGGTAAACATTCAAATACTTAGAGGAGAACACATAAAATTAAAATAACACTTCAAAATACTGTTGCAGTTTTCATTTTCTACTCCTGAAACAGAAATAAACCATTTATCAGTAAGTGCATTTTTTATGGAGAAAATATTTATTAGTTTTCAAATGATCACATAATACAAATATTACAGTCATTCTAGAAAGTTAACTTATTTAATATTCATAAACACTGAAAAATATAATTTTGCATATAGTGACACAAAATATAAAAAAATCTGAAAGAAAAATGTATAAAGTAAAAGTTTAAATAAACAAATCAGTTCACATTAATATACAAAAAGTTTCACCTTTAAATAGCTTTTAGTGCCATGAAATGAATAGAAATGCACTTGCATTTCTTTTGCACACTTAAAGGAACACTGCTAAAATTCAGTCAAAGCATGAGAGTAAGAGATTAACTTTTCATCTTCAAAGCTGAAACAAAAGGCTAATAATCTCACAGGCCATAAAGTGGTTTATAGTGTGGTCCAAAGAGTTCAACTACTTTCATTTCCAAGAAAATTTCACTTTCAGTTACCCTCACGGTTCTAAAATACTGTACAGCTATTTTTAATTTTTACGTGTTTGTAAACCATCTTAATTAACATTTAACAAAAAATAAGAATAAAAGTTGTAATTGTTTTAAGGAAATTCAGAGCTCTAAGGAAATTTTAGTTCAAACTGATCTTTTAAAATTACCTTTAAGTATTACACATACAAAAATGTATGTGTAAATAATGAGGGAAAAAACAAGCCTCACAGATAGCCAAAAATGACTAAAGGCCAGGTTGTTTCTTAGCAAATGTGGCTTCTGAAACCTTTAAGATTCCTTAAACATTTTAGATGTTTCCATATTAATGCAATTCTAGAAGTTCTATCGTTTCAATTTATGCCAAATAAACTGGCAGAATCATATAACCTTTAAAAACTTTCTATCAGTTTTTGACTAGTCAGTTATAGATATCAAAGAGAGATATAGAAACATTCTGAAAGTATTTCAATCAACTGATAGTGTGGATAACGATTTGTACATGTAGAAGCTAATTCTAATACTACTAATTGCCTTTGTCCTACAAAATACTGTTTCAGAATCATTCAAACTTTAGCATGCCTTCAATGCAGAATAATACCTTAAGTTAAACAGGTTTTTTAACTTCAGAAGACTGACAAAAACTACTTTGATCTCAAAAGACGTCTCTTCTGCTTCTATATTGGAATCTTTGTTTTTTTGACCAGTAAGAGCAAGGCTCAAGACCAGAAAAAGACAAGCTAAAAGAGCATATTCTCCTAAAATTAAAAGTAATTTGGGAATAATTAAGAAGTTCACCCTTTATTTACTAATTCCTTTCAGTGTCAGGCAACAAAAAACTGTTTCATTTATTTTTTGGATTTCCTATACTATTAAAAGAAAAGGTTTGCCTGCTCCATTAAGGTGACTTTCAATTCCAGGAATTTTTCAAGTGAAACAGATTCAGAGAGCTGCTTTTAAAAGAAAAGAGTCTCTCATGCATTTCTCTATTTCAGTCTTCTGAATAGAAAGGAGTATTTTCATGGCCATGTAAAATTCCAATCAGAAATTTCCTTATTTGAGCCTTTCCATTTCCAGACCAAGAATACACCAGAGTAAATCTTAAAGTTTATAAATGACAAGATCAGGTGGCTCTCTCATCCTGGTGTCTTCTAGATATATTGCATGGCTCCGTTCACCACTGCCTTCCAAACTGCAGGTGCTGCATGTGTGACAGATATCATCCATGAAGGCTCTGCTAGAAGAGTTCCTTTTGCTGAAGAAGTATGATGTTTACCAGTTGAAAGAAATCTGGGCAATTAGAGAACAAATAAACCGGTCTCCCATTATCAAGATACCAGGAGTCACAGAAGGAATCCACCAAGGAAAAATGAAAACTTGCCAAAGGCACCAAGTTCACGTTCTACCCACTGTAGATGATAAGAACTTCCTGGAATCAAATCCTACCCTTGGCATCAAAGAAACTAAGAGAAAACCATCTTAATGCCATGGGGAAAATCTAGGACAAGGCTCTTTCGCCACAAATAACATTATTCCTAGGGTCTAGAAAACTGCTTTTTTCTAGAATATTTAACATAGCTTTCAGGGATAGATTATATCCTGAAACTTATATTCATTCATATTTATCTTATTGAAGAATGAAGCCTAGATTTGACAGTAAAACCATAATGGTACTATCATTGCATCTTCTCAAAGATCTAATTAATATGAAGTCCTAAAGTTTGAGGTAGGAAAAGACCAAAAAGTTCTCACTAACAGGGTAGGATAAAACCTGGACATCAGACTGTGCAAATTAAGAGAGTTCAGATGTCCAGCTTGCCCAAAGATGAAATACAGAAACTTAATTACTAAAATATAAAAGAGTACTTAGAAAGCCCACTAATAATACCATTAAAGGCTAAAATGAGCACATTTTTAAATTCCTGTGGACTAAACAGGGATTTATCAAATCAAGTGCCCAAAGTTATCCACTGTTTTAACTATCTGGAGAGAAAATTAAGTTTGTCTCTTTTTTGAATGGGCACTAGTTACCATTCTTAGAAAAACAAACAGACTGCAGCCCCACTTGGTTCTTATATGAACCCAAGGAGTATACCAACAGAATAATGGGCAATGGAAGGACACTCCAATCTATAAATAAACCCAAGTAAATAATGGAAAGCACCCACTTGTTTATTATCCTTTCCCACTCTCTCCAGAAGCTGGATATTCTGCCTCCAAGGGTTCAGTGGAGAAAGTGGACCCCTGACGTCAAAAGCTCTCCGTGGTCTTGGCTGTATCTGTGGTTCTAGGATCACTCCTTGCACCTCTGGTAGGAGAGAAGCACTGAAATAGAGAGCTGAATATAGATTTAAGAAAAAATTCTTATTAAGAAATTACATTCTCTCATCATTTGAGTTTGTAATGACTTATCCTCAGGATAAAAAGGAACTACCTTTGGGCATACTTTCTTTAGTGTCTTCTTAATTTGAATTTTAGATGTCTGTCACCACAAATGATTAGTTCCTCAGTAACTATTAAGAAGGGACCTATTTTGGTCTAAGCCATAACACACTCTATGACAAACCACTCAACTCTGAGTGGAAGACTAAATCGAAAATGGTAAATTATGACTGGAAATAAGATCACAGTTGTATTAAGGGACAGGGAAAGGCACTCAACCTCGGATATATCAAAGGAGGAGTCCCAGTTAATTCTTCTGTCAAAGAGAAGAAGATGGAGTGAAAAGTAGAAACAGAACCCAGCTTATTATAGGAATACTACTAAACCATGGGAGTTGTCTAAGAAGCTGAATTTGTTGTCAGTTTTAAGTCTTCTGTAATTTAAAGAATTAATCAGACTAGAGTCCCATATTATGACAATACAAAGTTAAACCTGAACTGATAAAATTAATAACAGCTATGACTAATGTCACTGTAAAAGAATTATTATTATTAAAGCACTTATCTTTAAAAGTGAGAGGGCAGAATAATGGATATAAGTGATACAGTTTCAAAATCTTTTAAATGTATGATCATTTGGGTTTTGGGTCAAGAAGGACCAGGAAATAATCATTAATGGCTAAAATGCAGAAATTAAAGTATAAGATATACCCAAATAATAGATGATAAAGATAACTGGGAAATAGTCTGCTTTAATAGAGGAATAAGGTAAATAAGAGAAAGAAGTTCAAAGTATATAGCACCTGATCAAGGAAAAGCTGAGAGTAGAATAAGACAGGCAGATACTGTACTTAAAGTTATAGGGACTGCAGGATAAATTTTAACAGTAGAAAACAGATCAATTATATTTTGTGGTACAGAGTGATACATCCCTATTAAATTCAGATAGTATTCTACATAGAAAGGTGCTGCTATCTGGAAAATAGTCACACTACCTATTTCAGAGACATGCTATATTTTGGAATAGTGGGATAAAATGCTATCAAGTAACCTCTGTCTCATCGACTAATCATCCATCACAAGGGTTCCTTACCTGTTAGTGGGACGAGGGTTGTGCGCTCATGTTCTCTATCAATCAACCAACAAAGGTTATAGTCTCAGCACTAAGAAGGTAGTAACCAACCAAAGTTAGTGTTTTAATGCCTTCACTTCCTCCTGGCTCTGCCCGCCAGTTTGGAAATATACCAACAGCTGAAAAGGAATGGTTATTCCATTACCTAACAACATTTAGACTAAAAATTTTTAAACCCTAAAGATGAAAAATAAGCTAATCCTTCTGCTTTAGGAATATATTCATTTCTGTACAAATGAAAATGGCTTGCACTAAAAAAAGAAAACCTATAAATTTAACCATCAAATTTATAATTTCAAAAATTAAAGAAATGAAAAAAGAAATCTAACAGAAGTTAAGGAGATAAAACTGCCATATAACAAGAGGTATCAAATAAAAAAAATGTGAAAGTTTCTTATGAGCCTAAGAAGCAGCTAATTTTTCATTTAAAGCTTCTATAGACTTTAAATCCTAAAGCCTTTTGATTCTGAAGAGACTATATTTTGTAGAGTAGTAGCTTTAAAAAGTGTTTTACAATATAATCACTCTGAGGAGATATATAAAGGATGACGAAAGAAAAACAAGTTAGAAAAGGATTTGAATACTGAATATCTCAGGAAGTACAACCTAATAATTAGGTATTTTCCAGGGTCCAAAAATATGAAATAGATTAACAAAGTATTCCACAGCAAGAGCTCTTAAGAGGTGACTATTCTGCAGAAGAGAAAGGCTTAAAGTTCATACATCAGAGCTACCTTATTTGGGTTTTCATTGTAAGCAATCATCCTCTAGTCTGTTGTAATCAATTTCCTTTACAAATAAGACATAATGTTCTTTTTCATGTATAAAAGTATTGCAACACAAACCATAAAAATTACTAACGACCTCCAAATTAGTGAGAGCTAAGTAAAAGTAAGCTACTTAGATTCACAAACTGTAAGATGATTTTCCAAATGTCCGTTTTCTTTCATTCCTTGAATACTAATCACTAATAAAAATATACCTGATTGAGAATATAGTGAAAAGGGGAGAATTCCATTTTCAAATACGAAACATACCCAGTAATTTTTATTTTACATTTACAGGCCCACTTTACTCTGAAAATGAAAACTTACTTCCCAAGAAATCATCTCTTGCTCTGATTAATAGTGTGTTAAATTTGTAATTTCTCCTTCAGTAAGAGGTTGACGTTAAATACTTCCAAACCTTGATTTATTGACTACAATCCACAGAATATATAAATTAAAAATACAACAAACTTAGATTTAAAAAAAAAAATGTTCTTAAGCTGGATTACAGGGCAAGTTAAATAGAAGAGTTGGCTAAAGAAGTAAATCCACTTAGAACTTCTTCCAAGTCAGATCACTTTCTGGACAGAACTTGCACCTAAATAACCAAAACTTATGGATTCAACATATTCATACTCAAAAATGAATAAACATTTCCAAAATAATTATTATGAATTGTTGAGGAGAGCTGATATTTTTCTTGCTTCATGGGTTAATAACGTATGAAGACTGGGGATTTAATAATTTATATAAAAAAATGTAGAGGACCTTTTAAAATGTGATCATTTCTCAAACAAGAAAAAGCAGTCTTTGCAAGACTACTATTGATGGACGCTTCTCAGAATGACACAGTAGGACCTTAACTTAACTCTAATAGACAATATTCTTCTCTGTGATATTTAAATGGGGGGAAAGGGATGGGTAAAATATGAGGGAAAAGCACTCCTCTACATGATTTGCATTTCAATACTAAAGAATAAATGCCAAACCAAAGCTAACAAAGTCAGTAATGCAGAAATACCAGCAAGAACTCATAATAGCCATTATATGGTCTATTAATTTACCAATAAATCAAACAATTTTAACATTTTCCCATAAATACTGAATTTTTAAAGATTCTTACTGAAAATCAGAAACCTTAATTCTAAGTATTTTATATATAAATACCACTGAGAAATTTCCATGAAATGTAAAATTAGACTACTTGCAATATAAGTTCCCAAATTATTAAATGCATATATACCACTTACTAGCTTTAAACACTTTTAAACCAAAGCTGGAAAGCCACACCTCAACATTTTTAATAAACAAACAGTAGCATGTTTCCATTAAGGCTATGATTTCTATTCAGCTGTACTGGACTAACCTGAAGTTTTAAAACTTGCTAATTTATGTAGTTAAAAAGTATTCATGAAACAAAGACTACTGGAAGCATGATGTAGTATCTTTTTCTTAGTCATCTTTTACCACACATTCCTACTGATTCTAAGGCACTTCTATAAAGAAAAAGAATTTCTCACAAATTCCTCCAAGTGTCCAGAACAGTTCCTTCCAGCTGGCATTAAAAAGAAAAAGAAAGCGCATCCTTAACAGAAGCAGTGAGTCTTTGTATCTCCGGCCCCTAAAAGAGTCCTTAGCACACTGCATTAAAGTCAGTAAATATTTTACAAATGAATGAAGTCTACATATTTTTAAAAAAAGGAATTTTTATGAAAGTGGATATCTAAAGTAGACACTAAAAAGTTTAAATTTCTAATCCTAAGTAAAAATTTATGAAAAATACTACTTTCGTGAATCCTTTATCATGGATCTCTTTTGGGGAGCATCAGCTTCTAGATTTTTAATTTTTATGACTTTTTTTGGGTAGTAACATAATTTACAACATTGTTTGTGGATTAGAAGTATAGGATCTCGCCCCAGGTGTTGTTTTTGTATATGGTCAACAGAAATTTCAAAGATTATCTTACAAATACAAAATCTAGTTAAAACAAATTTTCTACTGTTCTCAAGATTTAAATTAGTACGAAAACAAACCAGATTACTTCTTGAACATCCAATTTCAAATTTTCAATTTTAAGAGTGAGGGATCTTGCCAAAATTTTAAAAAACATTATTAAAAAAATTTTAAATCTTAGAATTAGTTAGCCAAGATATACTGCATTATGAAGTAAAAGGAGATTATTTTTAAACCACAATTTTTTTTTTTATATATTGTCAAATGGGATACATCTTAAAAACACCAAAATAAGAAAAGAATGCCTGGAACTGTTAAGTATTGCTGAGCATTAAAAGAATATATAGTAACAGAAAGCAATTTCCTAAAAAACAAGTTGTAGTAAGAATGAAAAACCCTAATTATTAGTATGTATTAGGAACTACTCCTAATGTTAAATAGATATGTAAACAACTGATCAAAAAAAGACATCTAATCAAATTCTAAGATTTATCAATGTATTTTCTCTTCATCCTTTTGGAAAAGGTATCATTATCTTAAAAGGTTATTGGGAATAGTTACTTCACTAGGTTTAAAAGACAAGCCTTTGTTAAAAAACAGATAATAGGTAACGAAACCAACCTGTGTTCACTACCATATAAGATGAAACAGTAAAACAGATTAAAAAAAGAAACAATGCACAATTCATTTTTTAGAGTAATTCACTGAAGAATAAAAGAAAAAAAAGTGGAAATCATAAAAATATATACCAATTATAAAAATGTCAACTTCAGGGTCTTAGAGAACTTCGTGATTTAGACAACTTTGTGTTCAAGAAGACTGAACACAAAACCATTTAAACTGGGAAATGCACCTTTGAATGAAAAGAGCTTCTACATTTGACAGAAAAGAAAACCTTAGTGAAAATAATTGTAGGGAAAATCTCTAAATTTACTCTGGCAAATTATTTCCATAATTAACCTATCCAATTACTTTTACCTCTCTAGCCATCTTTTTCACCATTTGGTTTTGTTCTTAAAATGGCCCGCAAAAATTAAGTACATATAAGGTAAAAAGGATCATCTTTTAGTTAGTATGAAATACTTGGTTTT